AATGATTAGACATGTTTTTTTATAATTGTCATTAGTGATTATCTCAATTTCGGCTAAAAGAATTGACAAAATCCTACACACTGTGCCTTTAAATTAATGGAAGAAAATATTTCTTTTGGGAAAAAATATTTTCATTCTATAAACATTTAAACCTTATCTAGAAGTATAATATGAAGTCTATAATAACTTTCACTTTTAACTGTTTAGAAAACTTATTGCTTCGCATTTCATGTTATTTTTTACTGTTTTTATTCATGATTCAACAAAAGTCATTCTTGCTTTTGTAATAAATGACTATAAAAGACAAAGCTGGTTCCTTATCTTTGAGTATTTTGGACTGAGATAAGAATTCACTGTTACATCATACAATCACACACTTTTGTAAATGAGAGTCTGATTAAAACAAGTGAATCAATATTGATCAGAAAATCTGATCTGGTGCCCCAGCTTGGCAAACAGTTATTGCCCTTTCTGTTTTCTCTACCAACTCACTACAACTACATAGAAAGATTTATCATTTAATAACTCTTTTACTTTATACAGTAAGGCAATTGACTTCTGCGATTTTTTAAAACATTTTATATGAGATTTCCATGTCAGCTTTTCATCAGTGCCACCCAAAAACTTCACCTTACCGTTTCTATAAATCTCATTTTCTTTCTGTTACCAAATATCATGTAATCTGTTTCATCAAAATTTAATAACTAAAGTTGATACCAGGTTTGTATTTTCACAAAGTCTGCCTGTACCATGTCCAACATTCATTTAATATTTTCTCCTCAAAAAAAAAAAAAAGTTTTATCATCTGCAAACAAAATACTTCAGAAACCCTGACACATTGACCAAAACATTCATATATTAAATAGTTTTGGTCCAAGCATAGAACCCTGAGGAACTCCACATGCGATATTTCACAGTTCAGATCTTACATTATTTACTTGAAGAAATTGTTTCCTGTTATTCAGATAACTAGACACCCACAGTAGTGCTAATCCAATAATGCCATATTCATTCAGGTTTTTAAGGAGAATAATGTGGTCAGTAGTGTTGAAGGCATTCTTCAAGTCAACAAAAATGCTAACACAATACTGTTTTTGATACTTTGAGCAAGAAACCCAACCCCAAACTGCTCCCCGGGCACTTACATGTCTGCCTGCTGCTCCACTTGGGTGTGATGGGTCAAACGAAGAGCATAAATTTCATCATTACATGGGAACATGATGGCGAATAAAGTACATTTACACGTTTTAATGTTTACCAAATATTTATTTAGAAATTTATTGCACCAGGGGTCTGAGAGTGACGTCATTTAAACATGTGTCCCGTACATGTTGCAGATTTATAAGCAGAATTTCACTTGATCCTGCCCAGACACACACTTAAACAAGTTTATTTGTCAAAATGATTTATTCATCAAATAATCACACCATTATTTTTCAGCCACACAGTAAACCTGTTTAACTGACAGAAATGTCTCATGATAGTAAACAACATCTGTCAGGGTGAACCTGATTGTTTCATGCTGTGGTTTTTGGTTTATTTTTATACTTTTGACCACCAGATGGTGCCAAAGAAGAGTAATAGGAGTTAAAACCTTTTTTCCAAACACGCCATAATTTGCCCATCACTACATCAAGCTCAAATGTCTGTAAAAGTTTGACAGATCTGGTCGATGGTTAACTTTCCTGTAAACCTTTGAAGTGCACTTTCAAAGCCTCTGGTATCACTGATCCTGTGATTTTTACCAAATGAAACAAATTCTGCTTCTGAAACAGAGGTCTATAAAGAAAAGATTACTAAGTAAAAGTAAAATTACATAAACAGAAAACGACTTTGGTAAAAATAAATGTCACTGATGAGAAAACTACTCAAGCAAAAGTCATAAAACTGTTCACAAAAATTGGGAAAGTAAAAGTAAAGTACTTTTACACACTCTCTAAGAAATAAACTGTTGAATTTACTGAACCAAACTGGTTCCACTAGGCCAGGTT